AGCTGTCCAGTTGGCCGCAGTTCTCCACCACGTAGTTCAGGTAATAGAGATTCTTCTTCCGCTCAACGGCGTAGTCCTCAGTTTCCTTCCTGCGAGTGAAGCGCCGCTCACTGTACTGCATGACGCCAGCGAAGTTGTAGGTGTCGATGTACTGCGTGAAGCGGTCGACGAGCCATTGTGGCGTCACCAACTCGTCAAACACCCTGGAAATCTGCAGGGCAGACAGACGACAGCCACACGCATGCAGTGAGTGCAGCCACTGCGCCCTCCGCTGCCTCCCTGTCAGTCGTCGCGTCGCATGCGGTGCCTACCTGCGTCATCATGCCGACTTCAAAAATGCCGAGAAATGGGAACAACGTCGCGTCCACCTCTTCAATTGGATGCTTCTCCGCCATGATGCCGACAACCGGGTGAGCAACGGGAGACAACAACACGATAACACCAACTTTTAACTTGCCAAGTTATATGAGGCGGAAAACGATATGCATGCAAGACTAAATTGGCCGAAGTCTCAGCCCCCATTTCCAGTGTCCTTCTTTGCTCAAAGCCTTGAGAAAATCAGTTCTCTTTTCGTCAGCAAGAAGCCGTCACTATCACTTCGCACCCCTGTTCCCATGTCTGTCCGTGTTTGTGTGTGCCTACCTAGCTGTCCAGTTGGCCGCAGTTCTCCACCACGTAGTTCAGGTGATAGAGATTCTTCTTCCGCTCAACGGCGTAGTCCTCAGTTTCCTTCCTGCGAGTGAAGCGCCGCTCACTGTACTGCATGACGCCAGCGAAGTTGTAGGTGTCGATGTACTGCGTGAAGCGGTCGACGAGCCATTGTGGCGTCACCAACTCGTCAAACACCCTGGAAATCTGCAGGGCAGACAGACGACAGCCACAGGCATGCAGTGAGTGCAGCCACTGCGCCCTCCGCTGCCTCCCTGTCAGTCGTCGCGTCGCATGCGGTGCCTACCTGCGTCATCATGCCGACTTCAAAAATGCCGAGAAATGGGAACAACGTCGCGTCCACCTCTTCAATTGGATGCTTCTCCGCCATGATGCCGACAACCGGGTGAGCAACGGGAGACAACAACACGATAACACCAACTTTTAACTTGCCAAGTTATATGAGGCGGAAAACGATTTGCATGCAAGACTAAATTGGCCGAAGTCTCAGCCCCCATTTCCAGTGTCCTTCTTTGCTCAAAGCCTTGAGAAAATCAGTTCTCTTTTCGTCAGCAAGAAGCCGTCACTATCACTTCGCACGCCGTCCCGTGAGTCAGACGCTGCTCGTCCGCTGCAGTGCGGTGCGGTGTGCATTCTCGAGGGCCCTTCAACGTTGCAACACGTTGCTATTCGGCGGGACAGCAGCTCAACCGGTCGCTGACAGGATGCTGACCCGCACGCAGGTAAGGACAATTAAGGGGAAACGACCGCATTGGGTGGTGGGGGCGCCGTCTCATCCTTTGTCACCACATGAGGAGGCCATTCACGGGCCCATTTCATGCCTGCCTGTAGCCATATCGAGGCTGCCTACATGCCCTCATTGTCGCTGCAGGCTGCCGCCAAAAAGGAGTTGGAGAGAGAGGCCCAGGAGGCAGCTCGACTTGCTGCAGCGGCCGCATCCACCGGGACCATCCGCCTCTATGACCTCCACCCCTTCGGCAGTGGCGAAGACGACAAGCGCCTCAACAAGGCCACTCCGAAGCGACACAAAAAGAAGACGTCAGGCCCCACGAAAGACCAAAGGGATGGAAAGACGGGCGCTGACAACCACAGACCCGCAGGGGCAGCCGCACGGCAGCCCGCTGCGAGGACGGGCCGGGCGAGGGGCAAGGGGAGTCGGGAGACGGGGGATGTCCGGATGGCCGATGGGGAGGGCGAGGATGTCGATATGATGGCTGAGGGAGAGAACGACATGCTGTCAACGCAGGCCAAGAAGCCCGCCCGCCATGCAGCCGCCCAGCAGCGTCGGGCTCTCAAGGCCAAGGTGGAGGAGCCTGACATCTACGAGGCAGCCGTCATCGACCGAGACGAGGACGAGGAGCCCCTCCACAAGAGAAGGAAAAACAAAAACTCCGCCGCCCGCACCGCCAGCCGTGATGCGCACGGAGACGTGGACATGGACGTCGGGGAGGGGATGGGCGAAGGGATGGCCATCAGGACGGCTGTGGAGAGGGGCGTTTGTGAGGCTGTCGATGCTCTGCTGAAGGGCCGACCGCAGCTGGCCGGCCAAGGCCTGCTTCACGCCCTCGCTGAGGCCAAGACCGTCTCCGACGAAAACAAGGTGCGCATCGCTGAGTCACTGCTGTCCGCCGACCCGTCCCTGGCCACCGAGACCGACTCCAACCTCCAGACGGCCCTCCACCGTTTCTGTGAGCTGCCACTGAAGGACCCCAAGCGGCAGGAGCAGCTGCTCGACCTGCTGCACGCCAAGGGAGGACCCGCCCTCATCCGCACTCAGGACGCCGAGGGCTGGCGGCCCCTGCACGTCGCAGCAGCGTCCCACCGCGGCCATCATGCGAGCGGGACTGCGACTATCAAATGGTTTTGTCGCCATGGGGCCAAAGTGCACGTCAACGAGGCGGTGAGCGTGGACGGAGGGGAGGCCCACCTGAGGCCATTGTCCATCGCGGCGTTGCATCCGGCCATTCCACTAGATCGTCTGCGAGAATTGATTGGGGAGGGCGGCATGGGCAGCATCTTGCCAGCGCAGGGTGATGCCGGTGGCCAACAGCCGGCTGCAGGGGGGAAGAGGAAGCGCCTGTCGCCGGCAGAGGCGGCCATGGAGACAGCGGCCAAAAGAATCGAACAGGTGCGTCAGTCAGTGAGGAGGAAACGTTAATGCTCATATGGTACTGACTTTTGTGGCTGGCTGGCGGGTACTTGTCAGGCGACTCGTGCAGCCAGGAGCAAAGAGGAGGCTGCGAGGACCCGTGAGGACAAGAAGGACACGAAGGAGGCCGAGGCCGCGGCGGAGCGGATGCGTCGAAGGCAGGTGCGTCGTGAGGTGGAGAATGTAGTCAACGACGCCCTGCGGCCGGTCCGCTGGCTCAAGGGCAAGGACGCCGCCTTCCACT